CGGCAAAGAAGGAAGAGGGCGAGTACGCGCGCAACGTGGAGCGGATGCGGTGCATCGCGCGCGTGGCGAGCCGGAGGAAGGAGCTGGCCGCGGACCTGGTGCAGGAGGTGCTGTTTGACCACAAGTACGGCGCGGCGACGGGGAGCGACACGACTGTGGGTGCTCTGACTGGGGCTCTGCCGGAGCCCGCGATGGACTCGGAAGGGGAGGATGATGATGACGAGCACAGCAGTGATGATAGCGACAGCGATGTTAGTAGCGAGGATCTAGAAGCCGGGCTCGGCGGGGCGTCCACGACATCATGGCGGAAAGAGCAGCGCAGGAGGAAGAAAAAGGGGAGCAAGAAGACGGGGGCCATCAGCACCGGCAGCGGCAAGTACGGCACCATGTCAGGCTCATCGAAGAGAGACCAGCCGCTCGGGAATGGGACGGGCAAGGACGGGACACAGCAAAGCAGCAGCAGCAAGCGGAGGAGGAGGAGGCCGATGCACCTCCAGACGGCAGACATGCGCATGCCCGTGTGGCGCGCGCGCAACTGGGACCTCGCGCTCGTCGGCGTGGCGGCGGCCGCCGCGGCAGGCGGGGTCGGGTGGTTCGCGTGGGCGAGGCTGGTCGGGGGTGGTGGTGGTGGCGGCAGTGGGAGCGGTTGAACGGACATTGCTGTCGCTGGTCAAAAAAACGCAGGCTATACAGGGCAGAGTAGAGTGTGTGCTCCGAGGGGAGCGTCGGCATGTACATACAAATCCACTCATCCCGTCTCTCCGTTACTTGTCAGAGCCGCCTGTGCATGACATCCACACTCTACGTATATTCTACGAATAATACTCATCATGATGGAGATCACGCCTGCGCTGTCTCCTTCTCCCAGGATGACAGCGAGGCGCACCATAGCTGAATGTTGCCCTAAGTCTCGACCACTTCACTACGTACACTAGCTGCGAAACAGCACAAAGGTCCGTACTAGTACCAGTACAGCCTTTTTTGCTAGTATCTCTGGGAAACCAGCCGTGTCTTACACGTGGAGCCACACGGAAGAGAGCATTTAAAGGCCCTCTTGTATGAATAGGCACGAACCTAGACAATGAGCGCCGGCCGTGGGATGAGAGAGATCTTTTCCTGTCTAGTGTGATCATCACAGGTAGCTTGGCGGGCTAGTGGTAGGTAGACTGGAGAGATGTGACGGTCAATGCAAGATGACGTTTCGTATTAATGCACCGATGGGTCAGCTGTGGTCCATGTTGAGGCGGATGCTGGGGATGATTCAGTGTCAGTGGTTTTCCCGGAGGAACGTTGCTCTGGTGGTTGTTCTTGGTTTCTTTGCATATACCCAAGGTAGGTCTTCCTATCTCTTCATCGCCACGTAACCTGATGGTAGATCTACGCTTATGCTGAGATGATTTTAGGAATGGCTGAGCGACATGGGCGCGGAATACCTCTCGTTCTTTTTCCATGTGTCACGGATGATAGAGACGGGGTTTGCAGTCGGCCCAGCTTGAGGATTCTGAGAGGGAAACAACAAAGGGAGAAGACCAAGTGCTGTATCTCCTCACATGTTTTCCTCCCCAGTCTCGTAAACACGTCCCGACGCTGACAGCCACTGAATCGCGATCGCTTGCTGTATCGGGCTGACCTCCCTGGACTGATCGACTGCACGTGGTCGGTCCTCCCGCTGGGGCGGACCCGGATGCCGCACGTCGCATGACCCAGCCAAGCTGGTAGACTGCCTGATATAGTGCGCTTATGAATGCTTTTCTTCTCTTCTCTTGTTCCAGAGCTGGCTGTGCCTCGTATCCCATCGCAGTACAGTCTCGCTGCCTCGAAACCGGTCTGACCACGGACTGGAGAGTTTCGTGCAGCAAGAGTGCTCCACCGCGAAAGTGCCTCGCATGGAATTATCTGCTCCTTCCAAACAAGTCACCAGTGCGTGAGACACCGCTAGCCCGGCTTATTTTCTTCTCCGCGCTTCGGGGCGGCCCGTAAATTGCTTGCTATGTGCCTACCTAAAGCTAGTCTTGGTTACTCCCTTCCGCTTAGTCCGGGGGGCCTGGAGGAAAGAGAGAGTCTGTTGTATATTAGCTGCAACTAGACTCTGGTTAGACCGGTGCTCCTCGTGGCCTAACTTAGCAAGGTGGCTATTGAGACAAAGAAGCGTCCCCATCCATGCGCATATGAGGTACGAGGAGAATCGGGTCGATCCTTCATGGCCTTGCTATGTAACCAGTATCGGCAGCGGCGGCTGTGATCGCGATGAGAGTCCCGACGGCGCAAAGCCTGCTTCGAGACATTGAGCCCAAATGGGGAAATGCCCCAGTTGCAGGTGAGACTCTGACAATGGGGCCGGTGCGGGCTGTGGCTGTTTAGATTTGAACAGTAGTGCGGAAAGCTCGGCTTCACGCATCTTTGGTTGGGTATGGCATAGGTTCCTCGATATGGAGCGAAAGGACCAGCTGGGAGAAAGGCCTATCGCAATATAACTGTCTATGATGACCATTGGAAAGTCGCATCGTTCTCGATGGATGCAGAGATACAAGGTAAAAGACAGACTAGCTGCAATATTCGATTTCAAGATGCCGTCTGCCGGAGGCCTTGCTCGGAACGAGCAACGCCTCGAAGAATCCAAGACAGCGTGTACAGCGTGTACAGCGTGTACAGCATGGATCAATGGGACTTGCCGTGCCGTCCCGTTGTCACATAGCCGTCCATCAAGTGTCTCAGTCCGGCATACATTTTCTACGTGCCGCGCAGAGACTAGTCGTTCTAGGGCGTACCGCTGCCTATCACCGTCGAACCACGTGCTGGAATCAACCCGATTGAGCACGACTTCAGATCTGCTAGTGCTAGTGTCCGCGATGTTGTTCGCAACAGCTTGCTCCGATAGGGCGAACGCTGCACGCAAGGGATGACCGCAACGGAGCTTTTTGTGAGACATATGTGTCTCTGAATGCGAGGAGTAAGCGTCCATATACTGGCAGCACAGTTGTCTCACTGCTCACTAATCGTGGGGTAACATGCGCACTAACAGTCAACACCGACGAATCACGGGGTTTTGCAGAGTTTGGCAGATCACATACGGAGTACGAGGAGAGGGAAAATCTGGTACTGTCCATGCTCGCTACGGGCCAGACGCCAAGGTGTCTCAAATCTTGGGGGCAGATGCTACCGCTGACGCTGTTCAAGCGCGCTCCCAAGACGGAATGGGAGTGGCCCTCAGGGGCCCTAATGCAGAAAGCGTTCAAGCTGCTCTTGGCGCTCGCGCTTCCCGTCGGCAGTAGCGGTATCGTGCGCTTCACTGCCCGTGTGGTTCTAGGTCGATTTGAGCTGGAACAGCACTCCATGTACTCATGGGAGGCATCGTGATCGCGACGGCCGCGAGAGTCATGACGTGCCTTTGCGGACTGGGCCGAGCCAAGCTGTGGAACTGGCGAGCGACAGTATGCCGAGAAAGGACGAGCCTGTGTCCACGAAAGTGTATATAATACTCTCTCCCCGTCTGCATTTGCAGGAGAATTCTTGAAAGAGCACACCACGAGCATCAGCACAACTGCCCAAGCCTTCTTCACTCCCATCGCCAGCTCCCTCACAGCCACCATGCTCTCCCTCAAGTCCTCCATCGCCGTCGCCGCCACCCTGTGGTCGCAGATCGGCTCTGCCGCTCCTGTCAACGATGAGCGCGACCTGACCTGCCTCATTCCCGCGGCCCAGAACGCCAACTTTGACGACCTGACTGGCCTGCCCGGTGTCAACCTGAACCCGCTGCCCACGCCTTACAAGGGCCTCGACTACCGCGGCTTCAGCTACGCCAACGTCCTCCTCCCAGGCCTCACGCCTGGTGTCCGCCCGCAGACCGGCAGCCGGTGAGTTCAACTTCTCCTCTACCATCCACATCAGACATGATCACAAAACTGACAATTGCAACCCCCTTTTCTCCTTAGCTACGGCGTGACAAACATCGTTACCCAGCTCGAGGGCAGCCCCATCATCACCGCGCTCTACGAGGGCTCCACGATTAGCGGCTTCGACCTGAACTCGCTGTACTTCGGTTGCGCGATCAGCATCACCCAGGCCGTTGCGGGCATCCCTGTCGAGTGCACCATCACTATCACGGGCTACCGCGGCGACAGCAACGACGTCGGCAACGCCACGCAGGCGTGCTCCCGCACGTTCGACTACAAGCCCAAGTCCATCTTCTTCTCGCAGGCCATGGGCTTCACGGGCGCCAACGCCTTCCCCCTGTGCACCAACGTCCAGTTCGTCCGGGTCACGTACTCGACCCCCGGCCCGCTGTCGCCTGCTGCCGCGGCTGTCAGTGTTCTGGTCGATGACGTGCGTTACGGCACTCGGTCTTGCCCCTTGTAAGTTAGGGAAGTGGCGACTTCTGGGCTGAGGACTACCCGGCTGCATCCCTTTTGACAGCAGGAGGAGGTATAGGGGATAAAGCCGAAGGACGGTCGGATGCTGGTTATGGTCTGACGAGCTGCAGCCTCGTTACATGACCGGTAATGTGTGGAAGACACCCGTGGCTGGGGAGGATCAGTGGTGTCGGTGCGGGACTCTGATAGGATGTTGATTGCTTTGGGAGCAGTCTGGCACTTCAACATGCTCGTCTTGAGCACCGAGGTTCTCGTGCCGACGGTGAATTGGTTGGGGTGGAGGGTTTGGACATCGCGGTCGCGAGCAGAATGGTAGACAATGATGTATTAGCTCCAGTTCTGAATCAGCTACAATGACAGCACACATCATGTTAGACCACATGTGCCACGCAACTTCCCATGGGCTGCTGACAACGCACCGCCGAGCTTCATGATCGGGCATTGAGCACATCTGAACACTCCCTACGACCATCTCTACTTTGGACACTGCAGACGGGAACACGGTTAACCAGCATGCCCTAGTCGGATCCCGCGCTCAGCTCACTACGACCCAGTGGGGCTGTTGCTCGTACCGCGATGAGAAGAGTCGTTAAGCTCCCGCCTTCTCATTCGTCGATTCTTTCCAAAGAAGGTGCTATCGTCCAGTGGTTAAGACATCACGTTGTGGTTGTACACTAGTACAGTTAACACTTTCACTGTCACGCAAGTAAATTGCCGTGAAAACGCCGGTTCGATTCCGGCTAGCGCCATCTATCCGATGATTTCTCTTTTTGCTGCCTTGAGAATCCGCGATGTGCGTGGTAGGTGGGTAAGGCAGTGGAGATGTCCTTTTTTGACCCTTGTGACAGAGATGGTGGCGGGTGGGCATCGTGGGCCCAGATGGAGCATCATGGCACAGTACAGCACTAGTGTTCACACTGCTAGATTGTGAGTCGGGAGATGTTTGCAATGAAATTCGAGCTCCAGCTGAACCATGCCGGTTTCCTCCTCTGCACGGGGTAGAGATCTTGTTCGACTTGGCCACATGAGCGAGATATCGCAGGGTCATCCTATGGTTGTCCTGCATGAACCCATGGTCATAGCACCACGGAACCAGGGTGGGCTCGCCGCTGGCCTTCTCGGTTGACACATGCAGTCTGCTTGCTTCGTATGTTCAAGGTGTAGCAGCTCCATGGTATACTTGATTGATTGCACTGCACCCTAGGACACGCGGTCCACTTAGTGATCCCGAGGAATCCGATGTCCGCTGCGTCCCCTAGAGCGCGGGGAGCGAAGTGGCCCGGGGTGGAGTTGTCACATTCTTGACTCGTCAGAACAGGGGGTTTTATTCGATATTCAAGAAGTTCGGGCGCGGGCTGGGATACCCCTGGATCTGTCAAACGAGAAAATTGGGCACTTGGCTTCCAGGTAACCGTTATGTTTGCTTACACTCGGAGCTGGCGCATGTGCCTAACTGTGAGATAATGCCTTGGGGAGACGAAATTTTCAAGGACTCCTCGTACTCACTTCAATCTTGTCAAGAACTAGCCTTATCTTGCGACGGCATTGAACTGGCGGACGGAAAAGTGCCCTATCACGATATTCTCCCAAGGATCCAGCTGGGCCATTCCCCTGGTCTCGAGTTGCTTCATCTCGGCATCAAGTGTTGCCGCAGGCCTTCCAGCGCATATTTGGCTTCCGCAATTACGTGTGCAAGCGAAGATGGCCACCTTTTCAAAAATTCCAAACATATCGGACGTCTGGTTTGGTAGTCTAATGTCGACAGATCGGGATTCGCAGGTCCAGGTCCGTAGCTTGCATGTGACACGATAGGTGCAGCGCTCTCATGAGATTGCTTCAAATTACAATAATCGCCAGCTACATATTCTGGGTTGAGAGATGATAATTGCTGTTCGGGGCATGTGATAATCTAAGTTCACGTCGATCCATGCGTGTCTCGCATCGCCTATGGCCGTCTGCTGCATTGCCTCGCTGTGCGGCTAATTCACAAGGCTGCGCCTCATTCACTGGATGCTATTACACCTGTGGCCGAGGCCATCTTAGCTCTTCCGATCCGTGATCCTCAACCACATCCCCTCCTGCACGAAGATGCCATAGTTGCTCGTGGTCATCGGCTTCGAAGGGTCGATGAGTTGGAAGTCAAAGTTTCGAAGCAGCTGACACATTCTCGCATCAGCACTACTGTTATATTGCAAGAAACGGTCGAAAGAGGAACAACAACACTTACCTGGATATACGTCTTCTCCAACTCCATGAACGCGAAGGTCTTCCCGCTGCAACCCCATCGGCCATTGCCAAACACCAACTCAACGTGAGCACGCCACTGCGTAGTCTGCTCGGGACTTAGGTCGAGCCACCTCTCGGGGCGGAACACATCCGCATCGTCCCCGAACATCTCTTTCGATCGCTGGAGGCCCAGGAAGTTCGTCGCCACTCTTGTCCCACCTGGTACGTAGAATCCGCACAAGGTGTCACCACCTGGAGGAACATCCTTCATGACCAGCCCCGAGAACGGGATGTGCACCCTCAGCCCTTCGTAAATGACAGCCTGCAGGTACGGCAGCTTCCGCGACTCCTCAGCCGTCGCGACGGGGGAGCTGAGGGCACCCGCGGCGTCGGCGGCGTCGATCTCACGCTGCAGGGTGGCGTAGGCCGCGGGCCGGGTGAGCAGGCTGTAGAGTGTGCCACGCAGGGCAGTGGCGGTGGTGTCGGAGCCCGCGATGATCTGGAACTGGACCTCGGACTCGCAGGCGCGCTGGGACACGCCGTGGCGGACAAAGGAGCCCTGTGATTTTGGGGAGGGGAGGTGGTCAGCCTTACTCTGGACGTTTGGCGTGTCTCTGGGTAGGAGCTCATGTTCTTACCAGCATGTCAAACTTGTCTTTGGCTTTCTCGCCGAATCGTTCTGCCACAACGCGGTTGGCGGCACTAGCGTGTCGTGTCAGTAACTTGTTCTTCATCTGGCAGGGCGGGTTCCCAGACTCACTCAATCATCTTCCCATATCCCTTTGCGTCCGTAGCCTTGGGGCCCAGCAAGCTCGTGAACCTCTGCGAGAAAACGATGTTGCCGATCCAGGGCACATCCGCGCCCGCATGCAGCATCGGCAGCATCGCGGTCGTCGACTCGATGTATTCATGCACGTCCGCATCAGCCGCGAGGAATCCAAACGCCTTGCCGTACGCGACCTGCGTGATTGCGTCGAGCGTGAAGTACTGGATCTTGCTCGCAAAGTCCATCGGGCGCAGACCCTCGCCGGTCGCGGACGCAGAGACGTACTTCTCCCGGATGAACTTGGTCAAGGCCTGGAGCTGGACGTCCACCCCGGTCTCGATGTTCGGGTTCTCCTTGCCGCCATACCCGAAGCTCAGCTTTGCCTTCATCTTGTCGTGCGCCTTAGTGTCCCGGATGCTGCTCAGCGACTCGTAGTACGGATCCATGCTGAGCGCGCGGTACCAGTCCGAGCGCACGTACGTGGACCGCGCGGCGTTCATGCGCCGGACGACCTCGGGATCATTCGTCAGGACGCTGTTCGGGCCAATGCGGGCGAGCGGCCCGTATGTTTCGTTGATGGCGTTGATGGTGGCGGCTTGTCTTCCGGACAGCGTGGTGTTTCGGAGCAGCCAGAGGTAGCTGAATGGTGCGAGCGGCGGGCCGGGGATGTGGCGGAGGCGGTACCATGAGCGGGCGTAGCTCCAAACCGAAGCTGCGAGGGCGAGAGTGCCAAGTACGGCGGCCCAGGTGCTGCGGGAGACGTCGGTGATGATGGAGAACGCCATCATGGAGGATGGTATGGGTACTGGCGCTTTTAGAGTGGTGTGTGTCGTATCTTGGATGCGCTCGTCCGAGACTCAAGAGGGGCCAGCGCGTGAAAATAACATGCGAGGACCCTGCTCACAATATGTGGAATATTCGTCGAGAGTTGGAGCGGAAGCGAGACCACACCCATGGACAGTATGCTCCGCAACGATGCAACGTCAGACGAGATATGCCGACTATTATTGGCGCGTCAACACTGGCGTCAGCATTGATGCACTCTGCTTACTCATAACGGCAATCGATGCCCTTTGCACGGATTGTGCCGGCGGGCAGCTGGGCCTTTGCATAGAAACGGTTACACCTGACCTTCGCTGTACATCTTGGCAGTCCTGTTGTGAAACCTGACTAGCGTGGAGAGTCTCTATGGGACAATCCTGCTCAATCATATGCAACGGAAGTGCTGATTGGACCAGGCCTCGTGGCGCTCGCGAGAGGGACAGTGCCAAGGTGTTCAGCCAGAGCTGCAAGGCGCGCAACCAGCTCGGCGGGCTAGCCTGAACATTGAGGACGTTGTCGCTGGCTGTGTTGCAGTTCTGATTGTAGCCATCACATCGCACATGAAATGCGATTCTGCTTGTGTCCAGGCCCTTCTCTGGAGCAACGATCAGTTGAAGTGCGTTCTGTGTCGCAACTTCACCGCCCTGCCAGCTTGACAGCGCCAACCAGAGGGGCTAAATTGTAAATAGATCTGGACAGTCAACAGATAGCATAAACAATGGACAGGTTCGCAATAACTTGGCAGCCCCAATACCACAGCGCCCGGTTCAAGGCCTAGCTATGCCAGTCTCGAAGCCATGTCCAACCCGGTCTGACTTGCTTTGTATGCATTCGTCGGTAACGGCAGGAGTATGCCGCAGCTCGGCTTTCGCCAGTGAGTATGTGTTGCTCTTTCTGTCGATGAGCTGTGGACCTGCAACGACAAGTTGGCAGCTGTCGAAGTAAGTAGCGACAGGTTCTCCAAGAGAGGATACCTGTAGCTACGCTTACTTGTGGGAGGTTTTGTGGGCATGGAATCTATCAGGACCCTTGCACAAAACAACTTAATCTGGATAGTAGCTGACAATAACCTACGAGGTGCCTTTCAAGGGAACGATGCTGGGCGGTGGAAACGAGGCTGCGGAGCCCCCAAGTCCAGCTACTTCATCTGGCCTACCAGCTATCATGGCCGAGATGAAGTAGTGGTGCAACCACTCACCTTGGAGCGAACCGCAGGCTCTGCTCACGGATGTCCTGGTCCGGATACAGGGCCCAGGCATGGGCTGGCTTCAGCTAGCTGGGGTCGTTGTTCGATAGTCTGGACTGGATCCTGGGCTTCAGTTGGCCGACTGGCCACAGTCGACTAGGCGCGTGGCACGGTCCGGCCCGCACCACGGGGCTGTCACTACTGCACAGTCAGATAATCCATCAAGGTGCATCACTGTTGATCGGCTTCATTTCCTGAAATTGACTTTAGCCATTCCTATCCTAAGGGATGCGCAGTACAACACTGCTGTGGTCGACACCACTGCCAACGTCCGAGATACCACCCTGCGCAATAGCGATTTCTCTGCTCTCGTCGTCCGCCGCGAAGAAGACAGCAGTGTTGAACGTACGGCTCAGACTGCAACCCCGCAAGTAGATGGCCATGGTGCACCAGCCGCGGGCCTCGTCGAGAGGATCCTGGTAGCGGTGGTAGTTGCGCAGCGGGATGCGCACGACCGCCTTCTCGCCCTTGCGGGCCGTCACGAAGTCGTACTCGAACACCGCGTCCTCGGGGATGCTGGAGCAAGGGCCGGCGAACGCGAGGTCCGAGCCGGGCGTCGCGCGGTCGGGGTTCTGGACGATGCCCGTGGCGGTGTACCACGCGTCAAAGTCGACGGGGTAGAAGCTCTCCGAGCCAGCGCCAGAGTCAATTAGACACTGTGTCATGTCCACACCGGTGGTGTTGACGTC